CCTCAAGTCCTGATCCCACACATTTAAGAAGGTAGTGCTCAAAATGAAAGAATCCATTTTCAAAGGAAAAGATGCAACAAAGGAGAATTTGACCAACAAGAAAAGGTTTTACAAAGCAATAAAGTCTTGGCAGCTCGTAGACATCCCTATATATGACCAAGCTCGTGCATAGAGAGTTGTGTGCTTGAACGGGGAAGAAAATGCTCAAATAATAAGGAGAGTTATACAAAGATGGCATAGAAGATCGAGTACCTGCGACAGTTCTATTATCAGTTCTATCCTTTGTAATTCAATTTCTTCTATTATATTGGGGTTAAAAGAAACATTTGAGAATTTTTTCATTCGAGGGTTAGGGTGTGTAGTGAGAGCTTTGTGGTAAAGATGAGAGACTCCTCGCCCGAGCAGACCTCTTCAGGAAATACCTCACCCATTACACGACTTCAATATTCCCGGAACACGTCAGACCAACATGTGTGGACGATGTCAAGGGGACCACGCTCTTCAGGGACAAAGAGTAATTACAGAGATCATCTTTCTTCAGCGGTTGGAAATGAAAACTCCAGCTCTCGAAGACGATCTCTCTCTCTCTCACTTCTCAATGAAGAAGGTTCTGGGATCTAGGGTTTGCTGAAGTGTCGGATTTGGAGTATTATGTTGTTCGCTCATTCCATTCTCTTGGACGTAAGTGGTTGCATTAAGTTCCATTCGCCCACTTGGGCCAGATCTACACTAGTTTATATGGGCTTAGCAAACTACCTATTTGTTTGTATTCTCTTGCATCCTTGTACTCTTATGCCTCTTTTATGATAAATCAATAAAGACTGGTAAATGTTTCCCGACGTTACGTCACCCTCTCGAGTGATTTTGCGGGACAAAAAAAAAGAGACTCATTACCCACAAGGTAACGTAGTGAGAGCTCTACCTAAAGAGGTTAGAGTTGGGTGGCTCAAGGGTAAACTAGGAGAGTTTATCTTGTAACTTATTTAAAGGCTTATAGTGAAAAGTATTCAAACTCCTTCAAGGGAGGTCGATGTTTTTTAATCCATGTTGAGCCAAGGATTTTTCCTCATTAAATCTTTAGTAATTTAAATTCTGTTTTCCCCTTTGTCCCGCACTACAACTCGTCGAAAATCTGTCATAGTTTTGCACACACACTATTCAGACCCACTACGGTGTGAATCAACCGGTTCATCAATTGGTATAAGAGCTAGTCTTTTCCGCATAAAGGGTAAAACCTTGAGAAGTGATCCGGCAGAATGAACACGGTTGACCATCTTGAAGAAGGTTACTCGACCCAACGACCTCCATTGTTCAATGATAAGTTCTCTCAATTCTAGAAAAGCCGAATGAATAATTTTATCAAGGCAAACAACTATGAGATATGGAATATTATTGATGAAAGTGACAATGATATCACAGAGGTCTCCAACGAAGGTACTATTGTTCCTAAACCTATATCTGAACATACTTCTGACGATTATTTAACACTCGAGCATAATGCCCAAACTCTTAAGTTTTTGAGTTGTGGACTTGATCATGCTGAACACAATTGAGTTCAAGGGTGCAAGTCTGCCAAACAAATATGGGATTTGCTTGAGGTTACTCGTAAAGGTACTTCCCGTGTAAAAGATTCAAAATTAACATATTTATGTGAAATTATGAACTTTTCGCAATTATTGACATATCTACTACGTATTATTGACTATATTTATATTCTCTTTGCCTCTAGTTTTTCCACTTCCATATTTCCATTAGAGGTTAATTTTATGCCAATATGATGTCACAAAGTATTTATAAACAATCCACTTTCCAATTAGAAAGCTCTAAAGATGCTCCAATGGGAGCGAAACTTAATGAATTTATACTACTAGTACTATTTACATTTTTGAAAAAATTGACAAGATAATCCCATCTTTCACTGATCTTCTCATAATAATCCCACCTTTGCGTAATCTCAGAATAATCTCACTTTTACACCTCATATTCTTTCATTGGACCCTAAGCTGTGGATGTCATACTATACCAGGTTTTGACCCTTTCTTTGAAAATCATATAAATAATCTCACATTTCATTTTTTTATTATATCTTTATATAGGTGAGAACCATGAGATTATTTACATATGATTTTCAAAGAAAGGGTAAAAACCCTGGTATAGTAGGTTAGAGTCAAACGAAAGAAGATGAGGTGCAAAAGTAGAAATATTCTGAGATTATATAAATGTGAGATTATTATGAGAAAACTAGTTAAATGTGGGATTATTCTGGATTTATACAGAGTATATAAATCCATATATAATTAAGCATTCCAGCCCAGCTGGTTGTGAGTTTACCGTGACTAGTGGGAGTTCAAAACCCAGACCCCCATAAACCTCTCCATACCCCAGACCCCATACCCCTCCCCAGACCCCGGAGTAAAAAAATCCATACATATATCTCCCTCGATAGATTCTGATCCCAATTTGGACATGCAGCCCTCATGCTTACACTTCCATAATTCATAATGGAGAATATTTAATGAAAGGAGACGATACGAATATTTAAGTAATGGTTTCTCAAAACAAAAAAAACAAGAATTAAACACGCCCTTAGTGGCCTGTTTGTTTGGGGTTAAACTAGGTTATTGGAGGTTAAATTTTTAGTTAACCTCGTTTGTTTGTGTTTTTGCAACAAAAACCTAGATTATGACTTAACCTCACATAACTCCCGATAACCTGGAAACACCTCAAATTGAAGAACCTCCGAAGTGGGGGGTTTTGGAGGTTAAGTTCTCGTTCAACATAAAATAAGTTAGAGTACCTTCATCCAAACAACATTTATTACATTAACTGAGGTTCACCTTATTTATTTCCAAACAACATTTATTACATTAATTCAGGTTCACCTTATTTATTTCCAAATACTATTTTAAGTATTAACCTAATTTTAAGTATTAACCTATTAAGTATTTCCAAATACTATTTTTTCCATCATTTGCAATTGAGCCAAAGATTCATTATTTTTTGGCTTGAGAATATGATGGAATAAAGTAAAATGGCTCATTAAACTGTCTTTGCTTCTTTGTTATGAAGCAGCAGTCAGTCCATGCAATTTTGGACGCGATTTTCATTACGGGTCATCCGGAAACAGTCTCTTTGTGCTCTAGTACAAAGGTAAGACTGCGTACATCCGACCCCCCCTTACCCCACCGTAGGTGGGAGCCTTTGCGGCATTGGGGTAAATGAAAATGAAAAAATGAAATGATAAGTATTAACCTAAGTTTACTTAAGTTAACCTAGTTTTATTAAAACTTAGTTTTACTTTATGGTTTACGTAAGTGCAATTTATACAAATAGAGCATAATTTTCCTTCAAAAAAAGAAAAAACACGCCCTTAAATGTATTCTGGGCAATTGGGTTTGGGTTGGTAGATAATAGATAGTACTACGTATATTAGTAATGCATGTGTATGTTGGGCTGGGTTTTTCGAAATGCAATGGACTTGCCACGCTAAAATAAAAATTTATGTAATATACAAGGTTTAAAATGGTCCCAATTTTTTTTTGAAAGATTTATCAATTAATGTTTTTGTAAGATTATAAATAATTATTGCACTTATATTGATAAATTAGGCATTTTAACTATATTATACTTTGTATCAAATCAAATAATTATAAGCTTAGGGAGTATCACTAAAATTTTATCATTTTTTTAGTTATAAGTAATTTGCCATAAAAAATTATAGTTAGTCAAAATTCAACATTATTGAACACAAAAATTAAAGATTATAAAGTCTTAAGGGACGTAGGAAGGACATAAAATTCTCGCCGATAAGACAAATGGTACTTCTTACTTTCATAACTATTTCAAAATATCAGTGTTTAACATCGTAAGCTTTTGAAAATATGGATTTGGGGTATACATGACTAACAAATCGATGACACTATCAATATTCATTTATTCATTATTATTCCAAAACATACTTCGTGTCAATTATGTGTCATTACTATATTTTCCTTAATTGTAACTTTGTTTCTCATTGCACTCATTTACATATTAACTACTAATGTCAACAAATAATATCATATATTTATTATTTATTTGTGTCCCGTGCATCGCATGGGTGAGAGGTTCTCACCCGTGTGTTGCACAAGACACAAAGTAATAGATGTATGTCTTTATTTGTTAATAAGGCTTAAATTATTAATTCATGTATAAAAGAATGGAAAAGTCAAGATGTAATATACATAATAAATTGTAATATCATAACAATAGTTAGGACTCTTGCATTGGTAGTGAGTATGTTTTGGAATAAGTAGAAATAAACAAATGTTACAAAGATTTCTACAAATTGGGTTAGATAAAAAAGAAAAGCTTTATGGGCGGAAAATATGTCGGGCATGAAATTGTCATTCCGAGGTTAAGCTTAACTTCTTCGGATTCAAGAATCCCGTTCAAGTTTCAAAGAAGACAATTTCCAGGAATGTCCTCTTATGTGATGACTATAAATAAGAGTCACGGACAATCTTTTTCTCATGTTGGACTTTTATTGAAAAAGTCAGTCTTCACACATGATCAACTGTATGTTGCAGTGTCAAGGGTAACAAATCCTAAGGGTTTGAAGATATTGATCTGCGGTGAAGATGACCAGCCGACTGACCATACCAACATGTAGTTTATAAGGAAGTTTTCCGCAATGTGTAGATTGTGAAACCCTATTTAACGTTTTCTTTTTTTCACTTATTTCAAAATATACTTACTACCTATCTTTGAGTTTTCACTATCAGGACTTTATTTATAAATTATTATGCATGTTACACATATGATACTTTACTTTCATTTCACACAACCAAATAACATTTAAAAAAAATTGCAATATCACTATTACTTTTAAAAAAGAAAAAACACGCCCTTAATATTTTATACTTACCCGATGAGTACTTTTCAACGACAATGCACATGTCTTCTGAGTTATGATGATTATGATTCAGAATGAAATTCATGATCACTGTGCAGAGCTATTACCGAGTCCGGTGAGACCGTTTCGCCGATTGTCACACTCGGATTCGCGACAATCCAATTGAGAAGGTGATATCGATTTCAAGTACTCTTCTAGTCTATAACGCGTTTTGTTTTGGGATTGAATCAGTAGGATTTACGATTGTGTGCCTCTTCTCGATCAAATTACAAAAAATCGTTTAAGTTTCCCTATTTCCCTCGATGAGTTCTGCTAGGTTTCTCAGTTCTGGTTCGTTAGTCATTTGTTTCAGTTTCAGATTTTTAGTGTTCTTATGGACTGGAATTCGTCTCACCACATTTTTTAAACCTTATGGGTTTAAAACTTTAACACACAATGAATACGCATCTTCAAGTGTGTCTCAATGCAGACAACCTCTTGACATGATTTTCTGTGGGTTTATTTTTGAATAACTTTCACAGAGTGAGTAATTAAGTCCGATCCCTTACTGTCTGATCCTTGTGTATAAAAAGCAGCTTTGTTGGATCACAGCAGCATATTGGGCACTGGCAGTCATGAACCAGCATTCTTCTGTGCTTAGTCGACCATCTTCCGGTATGGATTTGGACTTTTTTGTGAAATTATTTGCATGATCAATCGTATTGCTCGTTTAAATGGAATTGTATTTTGTGATTAATGGTTACATACAACTATACAAGTATACAACTTGCAACCAAGGTCCTCAAATATCTAGAACAAAACCTTGACTTGGATCTGGGAACAGTGTAACAAATTAGGAACATTTTAGGATGCGCTCTTCTTCGATAAGAAGTAGCAATGCTGTGAGAGCTAAATGGATGAGTGACATGTGAGTGAAAAAAGAACACATGACTGGAACCCTCCATTTGTGATTCAGCCTTTTCGATTCATTTTGGCAGTGTTAGATTGTCTATAGAAGCTTTATACAGCCTTTGGGATTCATTTTGGCAGCTATTTCTATCCTTCTAGGGCAAGGTGCCCCTTTGTTCTTGTAATATTGAGTGATGACTATAGATTTATAGCATACATAATCTACAAAATGAAATTCAACTCCCTCTAGCACAATTTTTTCCCCACTTTCTTTTTTGGTCCATCCCTAAGAGTTCTGGTTTTATTTCAAGGAATGAATTGTCAATTGTGTGAGGTTTATTAACTATTTCCTTCTCCGTGAATCTCACCCCCCCCCCCACAATTTCACTGGTAAAAGTCAGTAGAAAGAACAAAAGGGAAAAACATAATGGGACTGAGGAAGTAGGGGCTACGGGCTTCTAAACCATATATAATTATATTCTCACATAAGAATACATTAATGACAGAACCATTGCTTGGAGAGGGGTGTGTGGGGGGGAATGTGAGAGTTGTTTAAAGTTGGGGTAAGGAAACTATGGCTAGGTAATAGGTATTGCAAAAACTTGCTGCCAATTGATAATTTTTACTGTAGTAGTTAAACTTTAAACTCTCAATGCCATTCTCGATAAAAGCATTTTTATAAGCGTTTACAAGTGTTGGATGCAGCATGTGCTTTGCACCCAATTTGTAGTGATAAGCTATCGAGTATTCAATTAGGGCATGAATTTTTCAATTACTCGCGCCACTTTACAATTTCACTGCTCATTTATTTCTTATATGAATCTAATTCTTGTGATTGAATGATATTTAAACAGGTAAAAGAAGATTAAAAGACCTTCTACTTCAAAGTGATAATCGTCTTTGTGCTGATTGCGGTGCCCCTGACCCAAAATGGGCGTAAGTTCTTGCACCTGGATCCATTGACATTACTTATTATGGATTTTGTCAATATATGTTATTTGAATTCTTATGAAACTATGGAAGTCCCCTTTGTTTGCAGCTTTGTAAATAGATGACAAATTATAAGTTTCTCTTCTTTATATTATATGTGATAGGTCCCTAGCTTCTACACTATGTTTCTCCTTATAGGTTCAAAGTTATGTGCACTGACTGACCCAAATTGTTATCCCATGAATGGGATCTTATGCCCAATCCCTTATATGTCCATTGACATATGCCCAATCCCCCATAATTGATGTATGAGTAGGCAATGTTAAACATTTTATGCCGTGTTAGCTTGACTATAAGGATCTTAATGACATCATTGCTTTGATATCTATGAAGTTGCACAGTGCTCACAAGTATTTATGGACAACTTCATACATAAGACTGTAAAGGCCAAGCTGCTAAAATATACAACTGATTTGTCCTTATCAAAATTTTAATATCGTTCTTCTGCTTGTAGAGGCCATTGGAATTAATTTTTGTTCTACTTAGTCATATATCCGTTGTGGCTACACCCCATGTATTGGAGGAGCATAAATTCACCACTCATCTTCATATATGAGATATCTTTTCCCTGTATATTGAATGATCCATCATCCTTTTGTCAACATCAAGGTTTGAAATTGCGTATTGCGTAGTCATAGACTCATAGCGTTTTTTTGTTATTGCATATTGCATAAGCATCATTGCACAATGAGGCGTAGGCCTACCTCGTAAAATTTATACGTGAGTGTGTAATATATACTCCCTCCATCCCTTAAAACTTTGCCAATTTTCCTTTTTTGGATGTCCCACTAACTTTGCCACTTTACCTTCTAAGTAAAGAATTTGTGGTTCCACTTAATTCTCTCTCCTCTGCACAAAACTCAACCACACAATTTTTACTTTATTAATCCCCGTGCCGGTCAAACTTGGCAAAGTTTTAAGGGACGGAGGGAGTATAATACTTTCTCCGTCCTGAAATAAACATCTCACTTTCCTTTTCGGACCCGTTCCTTAAAAATTTCCTCTTTCCTTAAAAACACTACCTTTCAAACAGTACCAAACACTATACATACAGTGCCACACATTAAGTTTCCAGAATATTAACCTTACAGAATATTAACAACAAAATTCATATTAAGAGGAAAATTAAATGCTATTAATATTAATATTAATATTAATATTTAGATAATACGTAGTACGTAGTATATAGTATTAACTTCTTGTATCAAAACGATGGAAAATAATTCCTTAACTAAAATTAAGATGAAAACGATGACAATAAAATACTTTGGATAAAAATCATATATTACTAACTAAAACAATGGAGTCAATTGAGAAGCCTAAAAGCCTTAAACATTTACCACTTAAAAATTTACAACCTATTGCTTCGATGAAGAAGCACTAAGAAGCAGTAACGCAGGTCTTCTGCTTGAGAGCCCTGTGATGCGCAGATGAAGTAGAAGCAAGCCAAAAAGGCAGAAACGCATTTTGAAGAAGGGTTAAGCAGAAGCGGGGACTTGGATTTGCGAGTCGGCAACAAGCGACAAGCCTTAAAATTACTATTAACGAACTAAATAATACAAAGTGGGCCCTATCAGCCCACAAATATTTTTATTTCTGTTGTGGACGTTTCAACACACCTTATTGTGCATCGCTAATTGTGTACGCCTCTGCGCCATATAGCGTACGATTCTTGACATCCGCCTTTAGCCATGCAATTATGCGCAATTCTCCAGAATTTGGGAGAGGCGCGCCTCATTGCGTAATTGCATTGCGCAATTTAAAACAATAGTCAACATGCATGAGCTAGGGAAACTTAAAGTTTCTTTATTAGTCATCTATGCCAGATGGCCGTGGTAGCTTTTAAGTGACCTTTATATCAAGTTTTGTCTACATGCTCAATTCGATCAAAGCTCAACTTACATCCTCTTAGATAACTGTCCTGTCGGTTCTGGGCGTCCTCAGGGATGGTGTGTCTGATGCTGCCCGTAACAGTGTCATCCTGTTTTTTTGTATGTATGCTCAATAGTATTATTAGTTAGCTATTCTGGCACAGTGGCACTGGAGCCATTTAGTGGATATTTATATAAAGTTTTATGACTTTTATCTGCATATACAATAAAATTAATAATCAGGGCTTTAGATGTAATGTGTTCAAAGACATGTTCATTTTCATTTACCCCAGTGTCGCAAAGGCTCCCACCTAGGTGGGGTAAGGGGGGTCGGATGTACGTAGTCTTACCCCTGTACTAAGCACAGAGAGATTGTTTCCGGATGACCCATAGTGAAAATCACGTCCAAAATTGCATGGACTCACTGCTGCTTCATAACAAAGAAGCGCAGACACTTTAGTGAGCCATTTAGTCTTTTATGTTGCTCTGTGTTTCCTTGGATGTCGAAATGCTTAGGGTGTTTTCTTTACTTCCAGATCAGCCAATATAGGAGTTTTTATATGCTTAAAGTGCTGTGGTGTACACAGAAGTCTTGGCACTCATATATCAAAGGTGAGTCTTGATAATACTAATCATATATCAAAGTGCTTTGTTGTGTGAAGAAGTGCTATGATGTATGATGCATTTTTATAGTTTTTTCTTGATATTATAGTATCATTGTATCATGTTCTCGTATAAATAGGAATGCCCTGTTACTTTTTCACTAAAGCCTCATACTATCACTATAAAGTATAAACAGGGAATAAGATGGAGTGGGAGTAGAAGTACAAATCAATTGGTTTCTGATACATGTGAATATGTGATTACGATATGAAATTTGTATTTGGTGCTGGTAGTTCTGCAATCTTCATGTCACAATTTTTACATCCTAGGTGTTGGGATTAAAGCTATATGGACCTGAAAAGACTAATGCTGAAATCTAGAAAGTTTGTGATTTAGTTCTTCAATGTGAGATCATAAACGTTAAATATGGGCATAGCTTTAGATTGCCCTTCATTTATTCTTGACCTTTCTGAACCACACATTCCAGATCTACAAAATTTGCCCCCTTCCACATTTGCTTCCCCTATTCACTTCAGTTTCTGGTGCCAAGAATAGTTTCCAATTTTTTCTGATGGATGGAAAGCCTGAATCCTTGTGATTGTGGTGCATTAGTGCATGTGCTGTGCACATTGTTTTAAATTGCGCAATGCAATTACGCAATGAGGCACGCCTCTCCCAAATTCAGGAGAATTGCACGTAATTGCATGGCTAAAGGCGGATGTCAAGAATCGTACGCTATATGGTGCAGAGGCGTACACAATTAGCGATGCACAATAAGGCGTGTTGAAACGTCCACAACAGAAATGAAAATATTCGTGGGCTGATAGGGCCCGCTTTGTATTATTTAGTTCGTTAGTAGTAATTTTAAGGCTTGTCGCTTGTTACCGACTCGCAAATCCAAGCCCCTGCTTGTGCTTAACCCTTCTTCAACATGCGTTTTTGCCTTTTTGGCTTGCTGCTACTTCATCTGCGCATCACAGGGCTCTCAAGCAGAAGACCTGCGTTTTAGCTTCTTAGTGCTTCTTCATCGATGCAATAGGTGGTAAATGTTTGAGTGGTAAATGTTTAAGGCTTTTAGGCTTCTCAATTGACTCCATTGTTTTAGTTAGTAATTTATGATTTTCATCCAATGTATTTTATTGTCATCGTTTTCATCTTAATTTTAGTTAATGAATTATTTTCCATCGTTTTGATACAGGAAGTTAATACTATATACTACGTATTATCTTAATATTAATATTAATTTTAATGTTAATGTTAATTGCATTTAATTTTCTGTTAATATGAATTTTGTTGTCAATATTCTGTAAGGTTAATATTTTGGAAACTTAATGTTTGGCACTGTATGTATAGTGTTTGGTATTGTTTGAAAGGGAGTGTTTTTAAGGAAATAGGACATTTTTAAGGAACGGGTCTGTAAAGGAAAGTGAGATGTTTATTTCAGGACAGAGGAAGTATTATACTCCGTATATATTACACACTCATGTATAAATTTTACGCCTTAGGCCTACGCCTCATTGTGCAATGAGGCTTAGGCAATATGCAATAACAAAAAAACGCTATGGCCATGCAATACGCAATTTCAAACCTTGGTTGTGCTGCCTGTGCATGCTTAACATAAACAAGTCAACAATTCATCTTTGGTAGTTTGGCTGGAGATTTGTAGCTTGGGGAACTAAGATTCACCTAGAGCCTCAAACAAAAGTTGCATAAGAGAGAGCATCAAGAGGTGGTACAAGACTACAAGTAAGGAAGTTTTTACTTGGACTGTAATTTGTCCCAGATCAGACCAGTCTTAGGTAGTTATAAAAATACAAAGAAACCAGACCAGATCAGACCAGACCAGCAAATTACATTCCAAGTAAAAACATCCTAAGCCCCAAAGGGCCAAAAGTAACCAAACTGAAGTCCGTCAATTTTTTTTAACTACAGAGAGGTTATTGCATTGATGATCCTCATGAAATTATTGAAATTAGTTATACATAAGTCCTAAGTTTGTAAATAAACCCTTGAGTTTCTTGAAGCAGAACCTTCTATCTTTTCTTCAGCATACAAGCCAAGCAAATAGCGACATTCCTTTACTTTTTTCTGCTTTGTGATCCGTGTTAAATTAGTGTTTAATGTATTTAATTACCTTTGAGTATAGTCAATCTAGCTTCTATAATACGATAAGCCTACCAAAGCATCTTACGGAGCATATTGTCATGAATGAGATTCAGAAGTCGTCCTGTGACAATATGGTCACAACATTTCAATGAATATGTTAATAGCCTAATATATTTAGGAATCTATCTCATATATATTTAGGAATCTACCTAATATTTATTTAGGAATTCTTTGTATTTTGGCAACTATTCTATTTTAAATATATCTGTCAGGACTCCTATCGGAGTACCCTTTCCCCATTATTTCACATGGTATCAAGAGCTCTAGGTTTGTAGCTTGGTTTAAGTGCGCCTCACGACTTTGACTACCTTGGTTTGTAGATACAATTTTTTCTTTTTCGGTTCCCATGAACCTTATTATAGCCGCCGCCGCCTTGGGGTCGACTGCCGCCACATCTACGGTAGTCTCCGATCCTTTGAGGATGAGCGCGGCTGATATGGCGCAGATCACCTTCTCCGCGTCGCTGACCACGGTGCTTACTTCCAGCATACCGATGAGTTCGCCGCTTGCTGCTGCCTACGTCCACGCAGCCCACCTTCTTCGCGTCGCTGACCATGGTGCTTCCTTCAAGCGCACTGTTGAGTTCGCCGCCCGCTGCTGTAGACATCCATTCTCTAGCCGAGTCCGGTTCGACCGCTCGCACAGCTGTTCCAGAGCGCTACGCCTGTCCCACTCTCTCTGGCGACCCTGGCATGATCCCATCGTCTTTTGTCAGGCTAGTTGGCCATCGGCCGGGATCCTCTCCGCTGTCCACCTTATTCGCTGCTCTTGCGCAAGGTATCTTTAGGCGTCTCTAAATTATGGACAATATTTGCTATTTTTCTTGGTCCTAATCTGGTTTCTTGGAAGTCCTAGAAAGAACCTACTTGCTCGTGGAGATCTTATTATCAAATATGTGCTTCCTAATTTTCCGTTGGCGGATATATTTACCTAAAGTGTTTTTTTTAGTTTGTAATTTCATTTTTTAAAAGACAACCTGCGCGTTGTATCTCCTGCACAGTTTGAGGGGTGTAATAGCCTAATATATTTAGGAATCTACCTAATATCTATTTAGGAATTCTTTGTATTTTGGCAGCTATTCTATTTTAAATATATCTGTAGGACTCCTATTGGAGTACCCTTTCCCCATTATTTCACATATGTGTCATGAGTAAGGTTATGTTTCTTCAGTTTCTCCATTTAACGAATGTGATTGCAGGTCTTGTCTGTGACTCTAGATGAATGGTCAGATGATGATGTTGATGGAATGGTTGAGGTTGGAGGAAATGTGTCTGCAAATTCAATTTATGAAGCTTATATCCCTGAAGGAGTTTCCAAGCCTACACCAGATGCAGGTCATGACCAGCGCACTTCATATATCAGGTTGGATTTTATTAGGAAATGTTGTTGCAGACTTGCAGCATCCTTTCATTTCTGCAGTCTGCATGTATTATTTGCTAATTAGTGCTATTATCTTTCATTAGGGTTCAGCCTATTATATTTGACGTAATTAGGTTTCAATAGCTTTGATATCTTTGTAATCAGTACTCACCATCTTTATTGCAAGGTAATAGTAAATTCTAGAAGACAAGACCCTGGTTATGTGCTACTCCCTCCGGTCGTAATTATAAGACACCTTTTAAGATTTGCTGACCTTAATTTTGTAGATGTATACATTCACGAGGCGTAGTAAAAGAGGTTAAAGTTGGAATTTCATTATATTTTTTAAGAACTAAAGAAAACCAAGTAATTTCGATTTGTTTTTTCATCCCTACAATTTAGGCTGTCTTGTATTTATTTCATTTGACCACCAACCTTTCTTTAATAAAATGTATTGATCTCACAGAACATAGGTCGTGTTCTTCCACATAATTTCATTCAAAAAGAACTTAATAGTTTACTTTCACTGAGCAGTGATAGATGCCTAAATTGACAACGGGAGCAATGAGTTTGATAGGCACGCAGACATTTGACGGTAAATCGAAGTAGAATTAAGATGAAATTGATGAACTGGAAAGAGAACGATACAGCGGAGACACTTCGAGTAGTCTCCAGCACTCCTAAACCAAGTCCCAAACTAATTTCTGCCTGCCTTTCCCCTTTCCTCCCTCCCCTTCTTATACTAAAACAAAAGGGTCAGCCCAACTCATGACTTACCTGGCCCAGAAGTCTTATTTTTATACTATCACAATTATTTACTAGAATTCTTCTTCTTCTATTATTATTATTATTGTTATTGTTATTGTTATTGTTATTGTTATTGTTATTGTTATTGTTATTGTTATTGTTATTGTTATTGTTATTGTTATTGTTATTGTTATTGTTATTGTTATTGTTATTGTTATTGTTATTGTTATTGTTATTGTTATTGTTATTGTTATTGTTATTGTTATTGTTATTGTTATTGTTATTGTTATTGTTATTGTTATTGTTATTGTTATTGTTATTGTTATTGTTATTGTTATTGTTATTGTTATTGTTATTGTTATTGTTATTGTTATTGTTATTGTTATTGTTATTGTTATTGTTATTGTTATTGTTATTGTTATTGTTATTGTTATTGTTATTGTTATTGTTATTGTTATTGTTATTGTTATTGTTATTGTTATTGTTATTGTTATTGTTATTGTTATTGTTATTGTTATTGTTATTGTTATTGTTATTGTTATTGTTATTGTTATTGTTATTGTTATTGTTATTGTTATTGTTATTGTTATTGTTATTGTTATTGTTATGATTATGATTATGATTATGATTATGATTATGATTATGATTATGATTATGATTATGATTATGATTATGATTATGATTATGATTATGATTATGATTATGATTATTATGCCCGTTTCCTATCAATACTCCCCCCCAAACAACCACCTTGTCCTCAAGGTGGGTGATAGGGAATAGCCATGATCTTCAACTTCCGCTTCATTCTTGCACCTCTCCCCTCCCAGTACTTTACTGATTTATGGGCTTTTAGCTTCTGTGCTTGGATCTTCATCATTACTTCCTTCACCGTTGGCTTTTCACTCCATCTAAGTAATTCCTGCATCTTGCTGTTGACAATTGACATTACTTTGGAGGATTATTCCTTCAGGCTGCTCTAAAACTTCTAGAGCCTCAGAGCTGGTAAAAGGATCTGCCTTGAAAGTAGGTGGTATCTCAAAATTCCTATGCACAGTGTGGTTGATGATTAATGAAATTAAGTGCTTGATGTGTGGCCAATCAACTCCAGAGTCTGTATCAGTTAAAAACTGTGACAGTGCTTGATAAGCATTTACTTTTACAGGAGGAGGCACATCCATGCCGATTACCTTAACTGCCGCATACACAAATTGCTCATCAACCCCTGTTGCCATGTCTTCTACACGAATTTTCTCCCAAATATTTCCTACAGTAGCACCACAATTTCCAGAAACCGTTGTTACAAATATATTCTCTGACACTGAAGCTATGGTGAAAAAAGTAGTGTCTGGTATTCTCCACCCAACCGGGGATCCCTCAAACTTCTCCTGCCATGATTCAATAAACCTTTTCTCTTCCACTTTAGCAAAGACTTGGTATTCATCAACCAGATCCTGGCCTGCTGCTTTCTTATCTGCATAAAAACAATGACACCATACACCAACCTCTCCCAACTATGCCTCATTACCTTTACACACTTCTTGGTATCCAAAATTGTCAACAAGAGCTTAGATAGATTGCCAGAAGGTATTTTCTGTTTCCAGCTACGAAAAGGAGTACCAACGTGCAAGGAATTTCTGGATGAATAATCCGCTAGAACCCAAAGCAACGAATCAAACATGTCAACAATCATATGCATGTGATGGTCAAGCACAACCACATGCTTTCCCATCCCCTGTGTCAATATTAGCAGTCTTTCTGGAGTAAAGTTCATTACAGGGAACTGTTTAGAACACTCAAGGTGAGACTCTAAGGGGCTGTCAAGCGTGCCAGTGAAGTACCTAATCCCAACAACTTCCTTTATTCCTACTCTTTGCTCAATCATCCCATGACCATGAGTTGAAACATCCAGGCAGTCTCCATTAGAATCCTGCTGAAACAAATGCACAACCTGTTTTTTCTCGGCATCATATTTCAACATAGACATATAATCATATTCCTTCCCCAAAAACGTGTAATGAGTGCCACAGATAGCAGAGAATGTGGGTAGGTTTGACTTTCTTTTTAATATAGAAGACAAGTGTTTGTTCTCCCTCTCCCATACCATAAGGCCTTCCACGTTATTCCCTCCCACTGCTTTCAGCACACCATCTGTGGTCCCCATAATTAAGAACTCTAATTTGTCTTCTGTGATATGATAGTGGTGCAATACTTTTTCAGCATCACTATTGTTAGCTACTTTCATAAGTTCAGAATTATAACCGTGAACATAGCTCAAACTATCAAACCCTGCAGAGGAATTATTTTGGTTTTGCATTTCAATTTTGTCCTCCTTTTTCTAAGACTTTGATTCATCCTCTTCTATTTCCTCAGTTTCCTCTATACAGACAGTCCCAGTACAGCTTTCCCAAGTATTTGAACCAACCATTTATCAACGGCAGATTCATATTCCATGGCAATGGACTGAATCACCACAGATGTTTTCTCCCCTCCTTCCTCATCACCATTGATGAATGTATCCTCGGGTGATTCCTTTAGGTACGATGAAACTAGCGCCTTAGGAATGCTGATTGGGCTGAAATCTGCGAACCAGTAGAAATCCCTCCTGATGATGATCGGTTGGCGAGCTGAGAATTGTGGTTCGTGATTTCAAACAGGGAGAAATAGTTCGTGACTGCAATAGGAAGCCTGTGAACAGAGAGAACTGGTTCACATCTGCGAACTGGGAGAAAATTTTGGCGAGGAGACCTGCGAACTGGTAGTGGCTGTTTGCGATGGCGATGACATCTGCGGAGAAACAGTTCGCGACAAAGATTGCGAACTTAAATGTTTGACGTGTGAAGTTCAGAATGAAATGTTTGAGCCACATCAAATACTTAGCGGAGGCTGACCGAGAGTGACTAAAAAGAAAACAACTTAAATTTGCTGGGACTAAAAACTAAAAAGAAATTGTTTGTTAACATGGACCTAAAACAAAAATGCTATATGTGCTGGGGTGAAATTGCGAAAAACATACTCCGTATATACATCTAATCTACTATTGCGACCTTTGAATCTTTGATTTCATGCTAATGATTAAATATATTACAAAAACTGAAACTGTATATCAACCATGAAACTTGATATGCAGCCAGTGTTCTGTCTGTTGATCTAACATATTCTACTTTTAATAGGTCTAAGTATGAGCTTCAAGAATTTTTAAAGCCTAGCTTGCGGATTTCATCGCAATCAAAGAAGCAATCGCTTCAGCCAGATGGTTTTCAAAGTTCAAGTTCAATACAGGATTCTGTAAGTTCTTGCTTGTATTACATGGAGATGTGCAAATATCTTGTATTGTCTGAATGAGTTCTTTATGACAAGTTAACATTGAAGAGGATTTGTGGATCTGTTTTTCCAATGATGCAAAAAGAATTAATTTATTTGAACTTACATGGTCGATTCATGTTAGTTTGGGAATACAGTTTTGATGTTGTTGTTGCAGTTACATGGTCACACCTATGCAGCTAACATTGAACTTGCTAACAGGAAGGGCTGGTGGAATTCATTGGAATCTTAAGGATTAAAGTAATTAAAGGGACAAACTTAGCTGTTAGAGACATGCTCTCTAGTGATCCATATGTCGTTTTGACCCTTGGGCAGCAGGTTCATTATTCTCTTTTACTAGAAATTGAGGTTAAAACAACCAATGAAGAAAAACACACACACATGTGCACCTACATTTGTATACTCTAAATCCAGGAAGATTGTAGAATCAACACTCAAATTAGATTTTTCATTAGCTAATATCATCATTCTCACTTGTTTCTTTGATCCAGAAAGCACAAACTACAGTGATGAAGAGCAATTTAAATCCAATCTGGAACGAATATCTCATGCTTTCAGTTCCTCAAGAATATGGGCCATTAAAGCTGGTAATGGCTTGCTTTCATCTTCTGTTTGTAATAGAGTTTTTGTTTTCTTTTACCTTTCTGCTAATATCTTTGAATGTTCTACCAGTGACTTATCCCACACAATTTTCTTTCTGGATTCCCAAATGATACATTTATGAACTCTCAAATTCGCTTTGTGTTGGCAAGTAATGTTATTAATATTTCTGTGTTCAGCCTTGTTGGTCTGAGGCCATGGTCAGTATTTTCCCTTTTTAGCTCCATTTGATGTTATGCTAAGCTGAGATTTGCAGCTTTCATCAACTTTTGTATTTGTCATGTGTAGTTTTATTATGATACTTTATTCTATCCTTGATTGACTTTCATGTGTCCTTATTCTCAACTAATTTCCATCTTTTCGTGACTATTAATAATTTAGGTGGTTGGTTGGTCAACTAGTTCCCGCATTACTTTTGCATTTAAATTATTGACTGCCATCTTGTAGCCGCCTTATCAATCTAGTTTTTTTAGTAATTACTAATTCATTCAACTGTATTGAATTGATTAATAATGAAAAAATATGGTTGTAGGGGCTTTTCTAGCTGAAGTTGCTTAAGATGATCATTTTATCATTTTTTGTATTTAAAATAAATATTCGTAATGGCCAAATAGGCTCTTCGGTATAAGGTTTTAGTAATAATTTAAGAGAAGTTTCACACTTTCACCATTTTGTCAAACATCTACATAGCAATTTATTCGAAGAATTTCCTGGTAAGAACTCTCTATGTAAAACTTCCATGAGCTAAGAGAAAAATACTTCAAGACCCTTGTGGTTTACCACATCGTGTACAAAGTCCATCATGTACACAGTTTAACATCTTTGCTCTTGAATCTTATGCCAGTGTCCCTCTAGCACTACTCTAAAATCTAACTTGTCTCCTTGTCGTTGCAGGTAGTGTACGATCATGACACTTTTTCTGCAGATGATATGATGGGGGAGGCCGAGATTGACATCCAGTCTCTTATAACCTCTGCAATGGGATTCGGGGACCCGGGAATGTTTGGCAATATGCAGATAGGAAAGTGGCTGAAGTCGCCCGACAATGCACTGATTGAGGACAGTTGTGTGAACATTGTTGATGGGAGGGTGAAACAAGAAATGAAGCTCAAGCTGCAAAATGTAGAATCTGGAGAGATAGATCTTGAACTAGAGTGGATGCCTCTTGACGAATAAGTCTTGTGCATATGTACAAATATTTCTTCATTCTAAATTATCATACCATGTTTGAATGACATAATGTTTGGCAAGTGGTTAAGATTTGGGGTTTCATCCCAAAAATTGTTGGCCAATACTTAATTGGCCATGTTTGGTAATCAGCGGTTAGCTGGTTATGTTAGCAGTTTTTATGAGTGTTTTGTATAAGTTGTTTTCCCTTTATATTAGCGGTTCAAAATCGTTTGGTAAAGTAGTTGTTGGAGAAAATCTATTAATGAATGAAATAAAAGTAAGTAATAATGGTAAGGATTAAAATAATTATAGTGCCCACAAGTACAATATTTTAGTTCGTAAAATTAAAATTTTGTTTTAAATCGCAATTTTACTGTAGTTTTATTTTATAGTGATATAAGGTGGGGGGATTTCTCTTTCTAGGGTTTTGACCGCTAGAGGCTTTCGTCCGCTATCGATCTCGGTTGAGGAGCGGTGTCGTATTTCTCCGGCGAGTCTGCCGGTGTTCGAGGAATTGATCGAAGAAGGTTGCAACGATGTTTGGTACATAGCAAGGAGTTCGAGTCGAGTTCCGCTGCTTCGGAATCGGGCGAGAATGAAGGGGAATTTCGATCAAGAAGAGGAGCGGTTGCATGGAACAAGCCGGCCATCAGTATAAGAAGATGAACATTGGTGAGGATGTTGAGGAGTTGGATCTGGAATGTGAGGATGTTGAGGAGTTGGATCTGGATGATGGAAACCTAGATGATGTTCCAGTTGAGGAGACTTGGTCGTCCTGGCCATCCTATCCGGTGGTGGGAGTGTTCTGACAGACAGGAAAATCAAATTTTCAGTGTTCAAAGAGCTTATGGCATCTCTGTGGAGGCTCTGTGGAGGCTGGGGAAGGGTGTCGCGATCAAAGAGGTCAGTGATAAGAGGTATCTCTTTACTTTTTATCATCCAGTTGATATGAAACATGTGCTTGATGGTGATCCGTGACAGCTTTAGAGGAATTTGTTGATTTTGAAAGAAATTAAGCCTAATGATAATCCGCATAAGATTTGTTTAAATGAGACTGAATTTTGGGTACGAGTACATAATGTTCCGTATATTTTGATGAATTTAGGTACATCCAGACGGGTGGGTAATTTTATCGGAAATTTCATTAGTTATGATGATAAACAATTTGGAGAAAAGTGGGAATCTTACATGCGAGTGAGGGTCTGTATGAATGTGGAAAAGCGTTTGAAAAAGGGCACTACACTTAAGAAAGGAGGTATCGAGCATTGGGTGGATTTTAAGTATGAGACCTTGCCCCACTTTTGTTTTGTTTGCGGAATCATAGGACATTCTGAAAAATTCTATATGTTGGCGTATGAAGACGATTTGGTACTAGAAAAAAAAAGATTTGGGGTACAGCTCAGAGCAGGTAGCGGGATGAAGACCAGTCCTATAGGAGGAAGTAAGTGGCTGTTGGACGGGTCTTCAAGCTTGAGTCGGGACCCTCAGAACAAGGAGGATAGCATATCAATCGAAAGGATGGAGGAGGAGGAAAGGAATACACGACGGGATCAGTTAATATCTCGACTAAAGATGGGGTCTCGGGAGATAATGAGGAAATATCGGGAGAACAAAAACGCAAGCACATCTGGGAGGCAGTGGAAAAGGAGCACCAGGTGGGGGGTGGTATGGCACTGGATGAGAAAAAAAACCGGGAGGAGGCGGGCTTCGAGGGGTAAGTCTGCCAAAATCATCTTTGCCGAGTCAGTGCAAACGAGTCATTTGTGACTCGTTTGCACTGTGAAAGAGTTTCGACAGAGGTTTGCAACTACACAAAAGTATCGTGTATTATGATTGTTAATTATTTGGGAGTTTGGTAAAGGGAGGAGACGAAAGTTTTGAAGGTTAGCTGTGAGGGAGAAGTGATCGACATAAATCAGTCTTTCTGTTTGGAAATAAGAATTAGATTTGAAATGATAAAGACTGAAAGAATAATAATTAAAATCACTTAAAATATATACTCCGTATTGAATTTAAAATTTAAACAGTTGGATTTGCATTCATTTTAAATTGAACTAAAATCATAATTTTATTTATTGTTCTTCAAAACCCCCAACTTTGAAAAAGGTAAACTAGAACATTTAAAGGGTTTTAAAAGATTACAAAACCCCTTTGAATCATCCCTTCCCTTCCAATTTTTATACCCCCAAACAAGAAATGAAAAGTCATGATTCATAAACACTCCTCACCTTCCTCTCCTCTTCAAAATTACCTAAGCTAAAGTATAACAAATTCATGAAAAAAGTATAGGGAAGATATATGGATACCTCATAGTGCTGGAAGACATCTTTAATTTGTCATGTGTTAGTGTTATGATCGATTGCTCCATGAATAGAATAGGTAATCGATCTTCACACACACACATATATCTGATGAATTAATTGGTGTGGAGTTAGTTTACTTATTAGTTAAATCATGTATCCAGTGTGTGGTGGTCATGATAGGTGCATGTTTCCATGCTTTAATCGCCTCACAAGTCACAACTTCGGACCTAATTAAATAAATTAAAAGATACTCAACTATTGTGTGTCAAAGACCAGACCGCCTGATCAAAATAGCTAGGATTGGATGAGATTGGTAATTACTAATTATATTGAAATATGACGTCAAATGGGGAAAAGAAAAATAGTGTTACGTTAAAGAATAATACTGTATTTAACGAAAATGTGGGGATGCCAATTTTGGTTAGCAATGGATTCTTTAATTAATAGTGAACAGTAATGATTTAAAAAAATGCTGGGATGCAAATTTTGGTTGGCAATTGATTGTTTAATTAATAGGAGATTTTTCCAAATTAAGGCTAAATAAAAAAGTATTTACCAAATTAGTGTTGGGATGGTCTAACTCCGGTTACCAAAATCGCTATATAGGACGCAGCACCGGTGTGCGTAGCTCAACTGGTAGCGAGGGAGTGCCACAAGGGTTAGGTCCCGGGTTCGAATCCTGTCAACTGCGATGAGGGGTTACTATGCTGAAAAATGCATGGGGCCTCTGCAAGTACCAGGGACAGAGCCTCACTCTCTATCTGTCAGATTGTGATTATAGTCCAATTTACATTCTCTCATCGTGCCGTCCGGTCGGTGTTGGGGCCCTCAGGGATGAGATGTGATCTTTTTTGGTGTATAGGATGCAGCATAACATTGGTGAATGGCAATCGTGGGACCCAAATAAAGAAAACCCCCATTTTTTAAAAAGTGATCTAACTGTTTTATTAATACTTAGGATTATTATAAAAAATATATCAAAATTCATAACTTTTTATTCTCTTTCATATGACACTAATATTGAATATATAAAAATTTAAAAAAAATCACTTTAAAAATAGGGGAATGTAATTAAAATACCCCAAATTTAGAAGAGGTGTGAGGTAAGCACCCCAAACTTGCATATTTAATTTAAATACACTAAACTTTATATAAATAGTTATTTTATCACCTTAGTCATGTATTATTTTTTTATTAAATGTTAATTTTTGGTGTTAATTTCATAATTTAAAATATTTTAGCATTCATGAAGATACAATTAACATTCTAAACTTTCATTATAAAATAAATAGTATTAACTCTCAGTATCCCACTCTATATAATTGCAAATTTTTCAATTTGATATTTTAAATTATGCAATTAACATCATATATTTACATTTTTGAAAGAAATTATACATGACTATGGTGCTAAAATAACATTTTATATAATGTTTGGGATATTTAAATTACATATGCAAGTTTGAGGTTCTTATCTCGCACCCTTTTATAGTATGGGGCATTTTAATTATTTTTCCCTTAAAAATACTCTATTTTTTAAAACGTTACACTTTTTTATTTGTATTCCGATTATTTTTACAAATATATCAAAATTCATAACTTTTTATTATCTTTCGTATGACTCTTATATTTCATAGGTTAAAATAAAAAACAATTTAAAACTTCAATTTTTTAAAGTGTTATAACTCTTTTATTTGTACTCTTATTGTTACAAATAATATATCAAATTCATAACTTTTATATATTTCATATGAAATCAATATTTCATGTTAAAAAGTTATTTTTAACAAATGAGGTTTATATGAGACTTTAAAAAGCTCACAATTTTAAACAAATGAGGTATAATGCATTAAAAGGGATTTATTTTTGACCATGTTATATTGGTTTCATATGAAACATAATAAAAAGTTATGAATTTTTATATATTATTTGTAACATTTAGAGAATAAATAAATAAAAGTTATAACACCTTCAAAAATTGAAGTTTTTTAAAGTGCTAAATTATTTATTTTATATGTACTTATATATATACTATATTGGTGTCATATGAAAGCTAATAAGAAGTTACAAATTTTGATACATTTTTTATAACAATCGGAGTACAAATATAAAGTTATATTAGTAATTTTTTTTAAAAATGGGATTTTCTAGTAATTAAAAAATAGAACTCCGATTGTAATTTTTTTTTTAAAAATGTTATAACTTTTTTATTTGTACTTTAGTTGTTATAAATTACATTGAAAGTGTAATTGTGAAAAAAAAAGTTGAAGTTTAAGTCTTTTGTTAATAAAAGTGAAAGTATGTGATATATTTGTGAATTTGATGATAGTTCGAAATATATTTAGTTAATAATCCTAAAAATATACTATCTATTTTTTAAAGTGCCTATTTTTTATATTTTCAATATTGGTGTCATTTGAAAGATAATAAAAAGTTATAAATTGTGATATTTTTTGCAACAAATAAAAAAGTTATAACATTTCGAAAATAATTAGAGATTTTTTATTTTTGGGACCCAAAGTTTTTTTCACTTGTGCGGCTACGTATAACGTATTGGTACGTTCGTAGTGCGGAGTAGCTTTCTAGTTTTGCCCACGCCGCCTATTATTAACTAGAGTTAGTCTAAATTTACTTTGGGAAATATTTTTAACCACACACTAATTTGTTAAATATATTTTAATTTAACATTATTCTAGTAAAAAAACTCAATTAATAGTGAACATTAATGTTTAATTATAATCTGTGTCATAAAGCTAGCTAGGTCGAGCGTGATGGGATAGGATGGTGATTTGTATATATATATGGTCTAAGCCCTCCAAGATAAAAATTATTGTTGGAGATTTATTGAAAAGTATATAGCTCAAGTATTAATTTGAAGGTCCTTAAATATTTTATAGATTAATGTTGTACGTGTATTTTAAAATGGTGTTATAAGTATTTTGTAATGATAATGGATATTATTATTATGAGTATACCACACTTGTACACGTGTAGATGTGGTTTCGTAATAATAATATTATTTTATTATTGAAAATGTTCTCTTTGCTCATTTTGAAAAGGAGCCGTTTCTTTTTATACGTATTATTACATGAAAATTCTTTTATAAAAGGTATTACTTTTTAAATTCTTTTACTAATGGTCATGTCCTTTTAAAGTGACGTTTGTTTCTTTTGAACAAGGCTTGATAACTGTTCCGCATAAGAACATATCGGTTCTATTGATATTCTATATAAATAGATAAGGACCGTGTCAAATGAATACAGAACGAAAATTCATGTGCAATTTTTATCCTCCAATTTGCCTTACTCTATTTTATTATCTCGAGAAATAAAATAAAAGTACTTAGACGACTTTATATACAAATCACTTGTTTGGTGTTATTTTGTTGGTAACCAACTGCACACCTTTTTTTTATCCCAAAAGTTCTATCTTGTAACATGGTTATTGTGATAAGAGTAGATAGTAAACTTTTAGAAAAACGTATTTAATACATGACTAGAAATGATATCCGGTCCAGCCATATTTCTACACCCTTATTTTTTACTCCGTACTAGTTTTATCCTCCGGTTCTAACAATTATAATGTACATATATACTAACATACATTTGTATAAATATTTGTAATCAGTAAGAAATATGTTAATATTTTAAGCTTTTGACTCCCGTAGGATAAACTTTTTAAATCCAGGTCTCCTAACCATGAAAGTGAAACTGCAAAAGGTATGAGCAAAATGAAATCACATTTCTTATGTTTATATGCTACTCTTGGTGGCCCTACCTTTTTAAAGAAAGAAAAATATAGGGAAAATGTCATACGTAGTACTACCTTCTTCTCATTTTATGTGTCTCCTTTGGTTTTGACACAATTTTTAATAAAGTGGTTTAAAAGGTAAAAATTGTGGTTAAGATTTGAGTATAGTAAAGTGAAATGTTGTAAACCACATATTTCTTTCTAAAAAGGAAAAGATGACGCTTATTTTGGAACAACTCAAAAAGGAAAATAAGACAGGTAAAATGGGACGGGGAGTATTTATCTTGTATTAATGAGTGGTTGCTCCATGAACGGGTAATGGATGATTCAAACTCAACTTTTAGATAAAAATGCAAAAGACATGAGCCAACGGTGATTGATCAGATGAATTTGGTGAGAAGAAATTTAGATAAATGTACCTCCCTCACCAAATTTAGATGAATGGATGATCCAATCACCGATCACAATCGATCTGATCGCATTCTCATTTCTTCGTATTTTCCATATATAATATTCCCCAACTCTAAATTTTTGACTCGCCTTCCTGTTGAAAGTGACGATATTTTTATTCCTGTGGCTATACATGATCGTCATCGTGAGAGAGTCAATCATCGGTCACTAAAATTGACAATATAGTCACAAAACCACTAAATGGAAACATACGCCACATCTTGTCTACCAAAATACATGAAGACAACATGTCAAAAGAGTTTCACAGAATACATATGAATCCCGAGTATGATCTCATTTGCAAACGAGTTATTGAAGGTTAAGATGATGTTGGTGGGTTTTTAAGGTAGGGATTAGGTCACAAAGAGCTAGAGACAAACTCAAGTAGTTCTTCTAAAAATATTGATGGGACGTTTATGAACTTTACCACAAAAACTCTACTCTTATCAGTTCATATATACTTTGAGTTTGGACTTGGGTACACACTTTTTTGTGTACACACTTTTACACATGTCTGTGTAGGATTTTTATTTATCTGTACAGACAAAACTTATTTTGACTGAGACAAATAAAAAAATCTACACAGACACGTGTAAAAGTGTGTATACACAAAAATGTGTACCTTTATAATTTTTCTACTTTGAGATTCTATGCCACAATCATTATTGACACATTTAGCTAAGGTGGTTGGGAATGGCAGTTTAGATTATTAACAACACCGTGTATTATTAGAACAAAAAGAATGGAGAAGACTCCATAGACGAGAGGTGTGCAACTATGCAAAAATATCGTGTATCATGAGAGTATACTCTGTATTACTAAGACAATAAAAATCTTGTAGGTTTGGCGTTTGCGTTTCCACACCACAGGATTGCATCAAGTCAAAATTTAGAAATTACATAGTTGAGAAGTTAGAAATTTTCACCAATTTTGAGTAGCAACCCTCCAAGAGTCCAAGTCCTTCAGGCAGAGCATGGGATGAGGATATGGTCTCATTTTTGTGTTATAGTTTTATGAGTATGACTTCCATATTTCCTTATTTATTTTTAATTTTCATTTTTTATATCACTTTTAACCGAGAGTTCTCGCATATTGCGAATAGCTTTTGCCACCGTGGGGTTTGAAGTGCCGATCGAAATTTCAACGGCATAGACAAAGCAGCGGTCGTCTCCCCTAGATTTAGGGGTTGTTTTCTCCGCTTTCGTCTTTGACGAAATGCGGCTTTCTTGTGCGGTTTTCGTCTGTCTTTCGTGAGACTCTCTTCTTCGGCAGAATTGCAGCGCTTATATGGTGGTCAAAGGTTGTGTACCCCTCGCAGCAGGTGGAGAGTTTCGAGTATGTCGTTCATCGTTGAGATCAGAAGGGCATAAACGAAGCATGGGGCTATGTGCTGGAACAAATCTGGATTGGAGGCAAGGAGCGGAAGAAGCTATAATAATGTTGGATTGTCCCCCTCCTGAACCGCCGCCATGGAGTGCCGGAGAAGTTAGGGTTCGAAAGCAGTTTTTTAATTTTACTGTTTGCTTGTTTTTTATTTTCATAATCAATTTGTTCAATTTTTGTTGGTTATTTTTATTGGTGTAAGACTCTTGCATTAGGATTGAATGATGGGAGGTCTGCTTTAACTATCGTTGACTCATTTATGTCCATTATAGGATCAACGAGTTATATTGCTTTTCTGAAGGTGATTGACTCCAAGTCAGGTTCGGGGAGTGACGGTTGTTTGGGGTCCTTTTGTCGTTTTACCCCCTATCTGAATGCTTTAATAGCAATTTATGTCATTTGTTTTGATGATAAAAAATATCACTTTTAACTTACTTTTTAGAGAAAAGTGTCAAATAGGTCCTCGAACTTTCATAAAAAGTCAATTAAGTCCTTATATAGGAGGCTTTGTCCGGCCGTCACGATTGGGGGTGGTTCCAGGTGGAATTTTTTGATGAAAGTTTTTGAGCATCATATTGATCAAGTCTAGTTTACTCGTACCAAATTTCAGCTAAAACTTCAACCGGGAACGCATTCAAATTAATTCTTGAAGATAACTACGCAGTCAAATGCATGCCGGCACGGCGGCACGGAATGATGAATCGGCATGCAGCTGGCTAAGCTAGCCCTGATCGAGCTCATCGTGAAATGCATGTACCGGAAAAGGTGCCGTCGCAATAGTAGTTAGGGCAGCAGCCGTGTTGCAACCCACATTGGCCACTTTTTCCGACGCAGATGCAGGTGCCGTCGGTATAGGAGGTATTACAGTAGCCGATGCAACAGGTCTGGCTCCAGTAACAGCTCTCGCCTTGCTCCTGCCGAATCCGTCACCATCAGTAGCCCTTTAAGATCCGCCGCGGCCTTACTCACTGATGATGGCCGCGCCCCCACGGCCAAGCACACCAGCAGCAGGGCCGTCTAATGAATTTGGAGGCCCCGGTTCTAAATGTAAAACAGAGGCCCCAAATTAATATTCTTTTTTTTTTTAAAAAAATATCAAACTAAATACTTATGCTCAAATAAATTGAATACTCATTAAAAAGAACTAAAAAGAGTAAAAGGACCAACGAAAAAATCATGCATCTATATTTTTCTTCCTTACTAATTGTATTTTACTGATTAATATTAATATATAATATTACTCCGTACTATATAATACTAAAAGAAATTTAAAAATTTGGGGCCCCATAAATTCGGGGGCCCTGTTCCGGATAACCTATTGAACTCCCTAAAAAATGGCCCTGACCAGCAGCGGGAGGAGGAGTACCACCTCCGCCTTCATTGAACTGCTCCTTTTCATCATCTGCATCTTACTTTACTTATGCTTCCCTATATATACTACCTTAGCTACTTAGCTTAATTAGTTAACTAAGTAAGTAAGTAGCTAGATAGAGACTTGTACACGATAGTATGAGACTATGAGCTAAAGAGCCTCACAGATGTTTACAAAAAATACTCATTAGATGATAATATACTACGTATATGAGATTCATGACAAATGCGTGTACGCCAACCTTTTCCTATACAGCCGACATGAAAATTTCGTGCTATATTAAGCCAATTTAGTACTACCTTCTATCCCTTTTTATTTTGTCAATTTTGACTTTTCCATTCAAAGAAAATAAACTTTCATTACTTATTTTAACTAATATATTTATGCAAAAGTTAATAAATTTATATTTTTATGATAATACGTTTAACAAAGAACATTTTTATATAATTTTTATATTATCAATAATATTGTGTATAAATATATAATCAGTCAAAGTTAAACAACTTTGACTTGAAAAATAGTGTTTGACTAAATAAAAAGGGACGGAGGGAGTACGTAATACGCTGACCAGCAGGCAGGGTCCAAATGCATGTACGCCAACCTATTTCCTGTTTCCTTGTTTTTTCTTACTCCAGGGGGTCTGGGATAGGGGGTCGGGTCTGGAATAGGGCTAAAACTCACTACATTGAGTTTCAAACCCGAGATCTCCCATAAGGGAGAGTGTGTCGGCGACCAGTGTTGGGCTGAACCACTTCCTCACCGGCCTATTTCCTATATTAGTGAAAGTTTAAAAAATGTGTCAACATTAAGAATCAATTATTTACTCTTCGAGTTTTGATTATTCACACTATTTACCCCTCTAGCCAACATTAACCATATTTGACTTCATATATTCGTAAATCTAACAAAAGTTTTCTAAAACATACTCTATTCATTTCTTACATCTTTGTTAACTTTCCTTTTTGATAATCTCGGCAAATTTGTCACATTCACATTTGAATGAAGAATTTGTGGTTCTTTTTCCGTGAGTAGCTAAGCAAGAAAAATAACGATAAAAAAATATGATTTATAGTTATGATAATAGACGGTTTTTACTTTTAAAAGTAGATATTGTAGACAACTTTCATTGAATTTGAGAGTTATATAAAATTTAATAGAACAGGTACTAACGTGATGGGGGGCAAACATTACTCTTTCTCTCTCTGTCTCTCTCCCTCTTTGTATATACATATAGGGTTGGATCGGGACTGGGGTTGGAAGTTGGAGGCCCGGGTAGGTTCTTGGACAGGGTTGGGTCGGGACCGGGTGTAATTTTTTCCCTCATTAATTAACCCCCCACCCCCTCCACCCCAAACACTCCCAAACCACCCAACCCAATCCAACCCAATCCATTCAAGAAAATAAAACAAAAAAATGGTCCGGACCGGTCTCGGGCCGGTTCCAAAGGGGCTAGAGCCCGTTACCTCCCCCCTCCCCCAGTCCGGGTCACCGGTCCGGGTCAAAGGCCCGGTCCCGATCAACGGGGCCGGTCAGACCGTTCCCGGGCCACCCCTACATACATATAGGGTCCGATTCCAACAAAAAGTGTAAGTCCCGTACAAAGTGTGAACTCCTCGTTTTTTTTAGCATCTGAGGTGCACCATTGCTTTGAGAAGTTTTTCGCAATTCAATTTTAGATCATTTACGGTACAAAATTGCATGCACAAAGACTAGTTTTCGGAAAGAAGAAAATGTTTGATTTATTTACAAAAATAGCACCGCGTTATTGTTTCACTTTAATGCATTTTAAACATATTTAGAATTATTAAATTATATATCTGATGCACTGGATTCATTTTTACTTTTAATGAGAACAAGACTTTTTATTCGATCCAAAATCTATATATTACGTATATATTTATCGTATAATATTATATCTTACATACCAGTCCCATATATTCAAAACCAGCGCCAGTTTTAATGTCAATCCGGTTACTAATTCCAGGTTAAGATCGGCCAATGTTGATTTACAAATGTGCACAACTCCAAAGATAAGGGTTGTGAGATTTTTAAAGAGCAAATCCAAAGCCAGACACTAATGTGATCAAAATAATATTGAACAGTAAAGGTAAAAACGTTCACCTTGATCCACACAAGGGATATAAATTGATGTAAAAGATGGGCCTTGCTACAATGTGGAGAACTGGAGATGTTCACCTTGTTCTCATTTATAACATCATAAAGACATGAACAATCCAGAGCAATACATAAGACCCACGACCACATACTCCAACAGTTACACTATGCCATGCATATTTGAAATAAGTATACCATGAACTTTTTGAACAAAATGAGATACATAAGCAACATTACATTTATAAAAGTGGGGCAAAATCATTGTGGCATTTCAAGGTCTGGTCTGTGGTCAAGTGCCTGAATGGTTGCTTCATCTGGAAGTGCATCTGGAAAAGTACCCAAAATCTTCGCCTTCATGTTTCTGTATATAATTAGACAGACATATAAATGACCAGGTCAGAACTAGACTGTTTGTAATTGGTATTTCAATCTGATTGTCTTGATCAAATGTGCGGACAGCCGGAAAGAAGAAAGTCTGGACCTGATTATATACGTAGTACGGAGTATTTATTACAAACAACTAATGAGGCTTCCACAAGAAACTACCATATTAGATAAAAACGTGCCTCAACTTCTGAAATATGTAATCAAGATCCGACTTCATAGTCCTCAGGAGGCGCGTATTTCTAGAGAAATCGGCAGAGACCTCACCAAAACAATGCTCTGAGTAATCATTGAAATGGGAAAGAACTGCATTGCTGTCTTGCAACCTTCCCAATCTGCAGTGAATCCAGTGATGAATCAAACTTTTAAGAATAAAGATTTTTTTTATAAAAACCAAACAACGGAATTGAGAGTATTATTTTCCATGTATAGGCAAGCCTTGTTGTATACTACGAACCATAGTTGAATAAGATGACTTTCATTCCATGAGGCACGGAAAGTGGAAACATTCGACCGTTCAAGTTTCCCCATTTCATAAACTTGGAACCATGTCAGAAACTCGGAAACTCCAAATTCTAGTTTCGGGACCGATCTGTAACTAGGAAGAATAGAGAAACTCGTTTCCCTAAATATTTAGGGTTTCAGAAACCTTGAGTTTCCAATAATTTCTTTTATGGGATTTCGTGATAGAAAATGGTGTCTTTTAAAAATATTTATTCCAATTTTTATGGTATTTGTTTCAAGCAACATTTTGAAATTTCATAACGCAGTGCATTGCTAGAAATGTAATACACTTTATGTTTAATTTTGTATGAATGGTAATGATTTCTAAATTTGAATATGTAGAATGTATTTATTTTTGGCTTACTAAACAAGATATATGAAAAAAATGTACAGACAAGTAAAAGAAAAACATGTGTGTATATATGTGAAAAAAATATTTATAAACATATCCTTATGATTTTTAATATTTACACGGCTCCCTCACATCTCGTATCCTATATTTTTTAGAATCATGTTTCTCGCGTTTCTTGTTTCCGTGTTACTTAGCTTTCATTGGTATTAAGCACAATGCCCACATAGAGAAATAATATACCTAAACGAAGTACAAATAAGAAACCATAATGTTCCTGAAACTTCTATATATTCAATGCTGCTCCTCGAGAGAGAATTTAACCAAATTGTTCTTCTTTGTTATACTAGTACTTTCTTTTACTACGTTTTATTAAACAACAATATACTATCCTCCAAGCGGCATTTTCTGTTGAACCCTTCCTAATGCCAAAACAAGAAAACAATAAAAGAATGCCTGAACAGTTTAGTGAAAGCTGGAATTTCTGCTGCCTTAGGGAACAGAGACATAAGTATCTTTCAGCACTCTTTCCATGGCAGCTTGAGAATGTCACTCTGTCATTGGAGATCTCATGAACCATCATTACCAAGTACGGAGTATTAATTGATTAATGCAATACACGTCACACAAACTAATGAAAACTTGATTATCAATAATATAAATTTGGCGAAAAACACATACATGAGAAAATCGAATGTTTTGATCAGAAAAATTGCAAACACAGAAGAAAGGGTATCGCAGAAATGTACATGAGGAGCTGCAACTGCTTGAGAGATTCCAGATCGCGCGAATTGATTAGGGTTCTGGCCTCTGCGGATATCTCTTCGGACGCTGATTTGATCGGTCCTTTCTCTAATTCTTCCATCACTTTCTTCTTGTGCTATGCGGTGAGGGCTGACTCCAAAGTCAGGGGAGAGATGTCATCCCTAAACCGAACAAAAAATTAGACCTGGGATGGGATCTGTTCGGTTTTTACTCAAATTTAACTAATGAACCTGGTTAGTAAAAAATCAAGAATGGAACCGAACCAATACTAAATGGTTCGGTTTTTACTTTTATCGGTTCATTGAATAAATTTTCCCTCATCTAATAAATTAGCACATAATTTGCTTTCTACCACATAAAAATGTTATCAAAACACAAGTATTAAATTTTTATTTAAAGTCTCAATCACTTCAAACATCAAAGTTCAAACTTAACTAAGTGAAATACTTTAACGAATAAAAGAAGACTTTCGAAAAAAAGAATAAAGGAAGATTTCAATTTTCACTTAATAAGTAGAACATAAAAAATGTTGTGATGTACTTATGTGGTAACAATGAAGGTTGTGTTTGCAAGATAAGACGTCCATTTCAAACCTTTCAAAACTTAAAAAACAGATCGTGTTTGCATGTATGGATATAAAAGCATCATTACACTCTATTTGCTAGTAGTATAATTTACAATAAATCTAATAGTTACAAATAGCATGCAGAAAGTGTAGTAAAATTACAAGTTATTTGAGTTACTTTTATAAAATTTATGTGGAGTAACAAAACTTGATTTATAAAAATGAACTTAACGTATTCAATCTCATGTGCAATATTGATTACTTTTGTTTTCATTGGTTAAATTAGAATTGTTAGCTAAATATCATTGATTGTACTATTATTGTCATTACTATCACTATTATTATTACTATTTTTATTTTTATTTTTTAATAGTGGTTCCTTAATGATTACGTGCACATATTTTTTATAGAAACCAGGAACCGAGCCGTTAGTAACAACTAGGAACCGGACCGTTAACAAATAATATCACATTTGTAGGAACCAAACCAAACCGGGTTATAAGGGTTCAGTTCCAACTGATTCTACAGTTCCCGTTTCCAAAATCTCACCCCTACCAAAAATGGGAGGTTTGGGTTGGTGAGTGCCTCGGATGATTACACTTGTTTAATTTAAATCGGAAAATGGATAGGGTTGTAGCTAGGGATGGATTCTAATGAAATTTAGAATGTTTTCTTTTGGACTGAAATTTGCTGGTCTGGTCTATTTAAGTCTGGTCTGGTCTAGTCTGAACTGGTCTGGTCTGGTAAACGTCTGGTCTCTGTATATTTTATAACTACGGAAGTCTGGTCTAGTCTGGTCTGTTTAGGTCTGGTCTGGGACTGAAAACAGTCCAAAAGAAAACTTCTATTAAAATCTAGGTATCCCAAATTTGGATTTCTGTAGTCTTTAAAAATCCAGGCATCATCAAACATTCTAACATTCTATGGATTTCACTAACTATTTATTTAATGGATTTTAAAAGATTTTGATCAATTTCTATGCCAAATAATAGAAATCCAACACAATCTCACCGCTAACCCTGGGATTTCCAAATCCATCGAATAGCGGTGATCGGCAATCGACGAGGGGCATCCTCGCTTCTCATCACCAAGGTAGGCGAGCTTCACAACGAAGCTGATTTCTTTTGACAGTGGTTTCATCACTGAAGCCATTTGCGGGCAGAAGGAAACCACAGAATCTGCCGGGGCAGCGTCGGATCTGGTCCTGGCCTGGAGGAAGACGAAAGAGCTCTCAGTTTGGTAAGAAGGCCCAGGTTTGTTTTTCCCCAATTTGATGTCGTTGATGTCCAATGGCTTCGAAAGCTACTGTGGTGTTAGGCTTGCTAGATTAGACTTTCAGATGATTGGGTTGACTATTCTGGCTTTGCTAGTGTTTGATCCGGGTGGAAATTTGGCGGTGAGGAGTCCAGTAGAAGAAGTGACTTTGGGATCCAGTTTGGTGCTTGAGGGATCAATGCGGGTGAGTGACTAAGGATGGCAATGGGGGCGGGGCCCCGTGGGGAACCGCCCCGTGGGGGGGAGTTGGGGCGGGTGGTGGGGTGGGGGAGATATTTTCTCCCCGCTTAAATATGGGGCGGGTGATGGGTTATGCACCCCCCGCACCGTCCCCGCACCGTCCCCGCCCCGTCCCCCGTAATGATTAATAATAATAATCTCAATAATAATACTAATAATAATAGTAATACTAATACGAAGTAATTAAAATAGCATGGTGGCCCGGTGGGTTTAGTGGTTTCCTATCTAATGGATTGTGCCTAATGAGTCTATCTAATTCTTGTTTAATTAACTAGGCAATCTTGTAAAATTGCTTATCAAAATCATAAAGCAAAATGATTTTTTTAGGGATAAAGTAAAATGAATTTGGGAAAGTTATAAAGTGATATTAGCTTAAACGCCTCAGGCACGGTGTGAATGTTTTTTCCTTTACTATTACCATGCATTAATTCTTTTCTTTTGAATGTCATCTTTATGATTGTAGTTAGGACTCTTAAAATTTGGTGATCGTAGGTCGTCCTAGATGTCGTCAAATGATCATGATTGTGTTTGAATGCGGGGTTTAAGAAAATATTATAGAGCTAATCAATGCTAATTTAGAGTTTGATAAAAATGACTAAATTAAAACGCGTATAATGTGTTCTAGATTTGAAATGGGATGTAAGATTACATTGACACTTAAAGTTTAAAAAGTAAAAGTTTTTTTTGGCTACTAGAAGTGTTGTTTAATTTTTGAAAAATTGTGAGAGTCTAAAATGATGTTAATTTTTGACGAGTACTTCCCCCGTTGGGTACCCGTGGGTCTAGCGGGTCGGGGCGGGGGATGGGGCGGGTCGAATAGTAGTGGGGGATGGGGCGGGGGTGGGGGCGATTTTTTAGACACAGGGCGGGGGATGGGGGAGTGAACCCCCGCCCCAACCCCGCCCCATTGCCATCCCTACGGGTGACTCAGGGGGTGGAGGATGAAGACAGAGCGTGGTTGACTCGTCCCCCTCCGGAACCGCCACCACGGAGGAACCCCAGGAATAGCGTCTGGATTTTACTGTCCCACCAGTCGTCAGGCACAGCACTGAGAGGCACCGGCCGGCAACTTTGGGGGTTGAATAAGGCAGAGAGCCATGAAGACCCTTTTGATGTTTGCTGTTTTTCCTTTTATTTAACTCATGTTGTTTTTATGAGTATTTTGAACTCTAGTGGTAGGTTGGTGTTTGTCTTTTCTTACTTGGTTTGGGATGATAGTGTTGGTGGAAGCGATAATGCTTGTTTGGCCGTTAAAAGCTTCGAAACTCTCACTTGGTTCGCGAATAGTGTCGCTCCTTATGGGGTGGACTATTCTAAGTCTAGCCAGAGAGTGAGAGGGCCTTTGGGCTATGCGGAGCCTCACGAGGAGGTTTGGCGTTGCAAGGGGGAAGTACTCTTAGAGTTTTGATTGAGGAGTTTGGCATTGTAAGGGGAAGGTACGTTGAGAAGTTTGCTTGATATTAATATAATCAGTTTCCTTTCAAAAAAAATACTACAATATCTTAATTGGGATTTGAATAGAATTATAGAAGTCCTCATGAGATATCAATGGTGTGTCAGAATATAATGAAGCTAAGAAATTTGAGAACATTGGAGGATTGCGTTTTTCAACTCATTTATTTGTATTCTTTAAACCTATTTCAAGTCTTCAAATAGGAAAAGCAACATCAAACGAAAAGTTGGGTTATAAAAGATGTGTTGAAATCTATTACTCCGGGTATATAGAATTCCATAAGATTCCACTAAAATTATATGGAATCTCTGAAAATCTGTTAAAATCAAAGAAATTTACAATCTTTAGAAATCTTTTCCGATTTCGTTACCACGAAGATCAGTCGGACAAGGAGGCGAAGGAACTGAAGGCAATTGTAGGCGGACGAACCGAAGGCGAAGCAAAACGAACCGAACGAACCGATCCTGGAGATCTTGAGAAGGAGGACATCGTCAACTCATACAAAAAGATGACTATCGAAGAACTCCAGAAGGAGCTTAATTTCGATGAGGAAGCGGTAGAGGATAGTGAAGAGGTGACCGAGGCGCAGACTTTCCCGGTGGTTGGAATGGTTGTCACCGATCGGAAAATTAAGCTGTCGGGATTTTAGGAGCTAATGACTTCGCTCTGGCGATCGGTGAGAGGTATGACTATCAAAGAAATTGGAGAAAAAAGGTATCTGCTAAACTTTAATCATGTTTTGGATATGAATCGTGTGCTTGAGGATGGTCCTTGGCTTTTTGAACGTGATTTAATTCTGATGAAAGTTGTTCAGCCTGATGATATACCTGAGTCTATGAATTTATTTGAGGCTAGCTAGCTTCTGGGTACAGGTTCATAATGCCCCCATTAAGTTTAGGAATTTGGGATCTGCCAGGAGAATTGGTAATTTTTTAGGCACTTTTATTAAATTCGAAATGTGTCATTATGATGGCAACCAGAGTTCTTATCTACGTATAAGGGTGTGCTTGGATGTTCATAGGTCTTTGAAGAAAGGTACTACGTTGACAAAAGATGGGGTTAAACACTGGGTGGACTTTAAATATGAAAAACTACCCAGCTTTTGCTTTTTGTGTGGTATAATTGGACATTTTGATAAATTTTGCCCATTGAAGTATGAATAGGGTTTTGTTGTTGAAAAGTCCTATGGGTAGGTCTTAGAGCAGGGGGGAGGGTGAAGACTAGCCCGACAGGACCCAATAAATGGCTATCTAGTGAGGCATCTAGCTTAGGTGGATATGGAATTCAGCGGAAGTCTGATCTCGGGGGAGAATTTTCAGCTGAATCAAAGAGACAAAGACCAATATTTCACAACAGAATGAGGCAGAGGAAAAGGAGGAAGCCCCTAGAGATACAAAGAGGAGAAGAAACAGGGATGATCAGGCTGAAGGAGATGGTACGGGCGAAGGCATGGCTCTCGACGGGCCAAAAAATGGGATGGCGGCGGGTCAATCTACTTAGGCCCGTCGAGGATTTACTTGTTGTTGCTGATGCTAAAGACCAGGAATGGTGTTATTTTAATTTATTGTTTTGTTTGGTGTTCCTGGGTTTTATTGTTATGACATGTTTTTTATTGTTGCGTGTTTTGTAAGACTCTTGCATTAGGTTTGGGTTTTGAAAGCTCTATGGTAATCGTCATTGGCTTTAAGTTGCCAAATCTCGATCTAGCGAGTTATACTGCTTTTCTACAGGTAGTTAACTCTCAGTCTCGGCCACGGACGGATGATTACTTGTGGTTCTTTTATTATCTTGTACCCTTACTGAATGCTATTTCCATTTATATGAATTAAGCCACCTTCGATTAAAAAAAAAGAAATCTTTTAAAATCTATGTCAGGGACACTCCCCTTAGACTTTTTCATATATTCTCTAGTATAGATTTGTACAGTCATGGGCAGCCCTATGGGGCGGGCAGCAGGGGCGGGCCCTAGGCCCACCAAAAAGGGAAAAAAATAGGGTCAGTGCTTCGAATTATAACATTTTTTACTCTATCTATATATTTCCTTTCCATTAAACACATGACTTTTGTGTCTCGAGCCCGCCTGGTAAGTTAAATGTTTAGACATCACATTTGTCAACCAATTACATATTCAGTCGATCCATTATCTTCATGGGAAAGCGTGACTTTTATGTTATGAAATTGTCTCGTGAAATGTTAATTAAGATATTAGACCTTCCGACTACAATATCTTTAAATGACTAGCTACATTTCCTAAAACACGTGATCTTTGTGTGGTGAGTCGTTTTCTGAAATAATGGTGAGATACTAGATTTGTCAATTGTACTTCTCCAATCAATTTATTACCTCTACATGAAACACATGACTTTTATATCACGAACTTTTCATGAGAAGTATGAAATACTTTACTTGTCTACCATACGTGTATCACATATTTAATTGGCTTATTAATATCTTTCCATGCAAGGAAAGTGTTTTAGCCTATTTCTTGCTTCCTTCAATAAAATTAGTACACTGACCCGTGAGTTGCATGGATATGACCCGTGAACTGCACGGATATGATTGATATTAATTTTTACCATAGACAATTTGTCTCATGAGTAATACGTATATGCGTGAATGATATAGTATATAAGTTGAAAATATGGTACGTAGTACAAAATTGTACATATATGAAATTTGTTAGAGATAAACTAAATAATATAAAATAAACAATATGCATTCTTATCTCACCTTAACTTTTCTTATCCAATGAAAACAATATTTTGTGACATTTACTATCATCTTATCATTTTATAATATTCAGGGATAATTTATAATTACAATGACTATTATATATATATAGAGTTGGGATCATATACAAACTCAACTTAATTTACAAAATGCAAAATAATCCCAGCCATCCATCTAAGCCTGATTTCGGTGCGCCTGTTTTAATTTTAAGCACAAGAACTTAAGTCACGTGAGGGTGTTTTGGGTATTGTATATTTGTCTAAGCATGGAAATAAAATCACGGTCAGCTCTCTTTCCGTCAATACTCTGTTTCCATAACTGCGATCAACACCACATAGTCTGACTCGAATCATCCCTGCACTTCATCTGCTTCTCTCCATTCGTGTTTCATTGGAAGGCTAGGTTAATCATGATGTCGTTAAACGCCGTGGAATCCGGATCAAGTACGGTTCTGTGAACTTTGTTTGAATACAAAAAAAATTCCTAAAACATTGTTTGAATACAAAAAAAAAACTCCATCTGGATTCTGTTTGAATCCTAAAAAATCTCGCTATGTCGTCAAACGCCTAAGAGTTGCAGATTTTGGTGCGTTGTTATTTAAGTTTCGATTGAAGCCTATAATTAACAATGATATTGTCACCTTCTTTTCTGCGTAATTCATGTTTAATTTGGTGTTTATGTTCTTCGTTTTGCATGCATAAGGATTCACTGGAGTACATTTACATCCCTAGCTTTCAAATAGAGTTTAATTTTAGTTCGTATTTTTCTGTTGGGCAAACTTTGTATGTATCATGCAGAAAAATATTATACATGGTGCAGTTAGAATGCGAACATGTTTAATGTTATCCATTTTTATTTTTTAATCTCCAATTCTATAAATTAATTTGTGTGTCATTTTTTGTTTATATAGGTGTGAAATGATTTTGATTCATTAGCTTAAAATGGTTATGATCTCTTTTCCCCATAAAATTTTGGAGTTTGAACATGTATGTCTATTAATATACAGTAGCTTTATTTTGATTTGATTATATCGTTTAAGTAATTTTTAATACACATAGTGCATATCATGCATTTGTTCGAACTGCTATTTTGTTGCCATATCAAAATAATTTTAATGTCTATATTTATTGAGGTGTTTTTTTGTTGTTTGCAAACTCTCTAGATGTAATGCATTTATGCCCGATATAGATTGCATTTGTTTAGTGAAATCTGTATGTTTAATAGCACAATTGTCATCAAAATTGTGTTCTAGTGTAATTGCCACAAGAAATGAATGATTTGTTTCTTGAATCACTCTCTCAAGTTTTTTTCTATTTATGTGTTTTTTCATTTTTCAGAAATAAAGATTATGGTATGAGGATCAGCTCTTCGAAGAAGGTGTATATTGAAGAATCAAAACATCCCAAAAAGCTCTGTAGATCATGCAATGTACATCATGATAGCAAGAATTGCCCCTTGCACAAACATGATTCCATAAGATTAATATAGTTCTTTAGTTATGTTGTTTGGTTACCTTCTTCTATGTATTGGTATGTAGTATATTGTAAATAAATTTCAGAAATGAGTCGAATTTTCCCTTTTGTTCATTGTATTTTAGCTTTTGTACTGTATACGTGTCTGATTCATTGTCAGACAATCTACTATCACCCATTTTTCATTAAATTTGCATTTTATATCACACTCAAATGCATATTTCAATATATTTATATGTACATATTTCCATAGGTGGATCAATATAACTGATGTATTAAACACTTTGTAGTACAATATGCACCTTATATATCAGAATGGTGCATCGTTTATATGTTATGTAATGCATAGCTCAGTATCCCTTCTCAAAATGTTAAAGTTGTTGAACTAACGTATATATGTGAACTCATTTAACACTCAAAATGTGAAATCAGTAGAATTTTACCTTTTGTTCATTGTATTTTAGTTTTTTTTTTGTATTTGACACATGCCTGATTCATTGCCAAACATTCTACTGTCACCCATTTTTCATTCAAAATGCACTTTTTTTGAAAGATCAATTTGCACTTTATAATAAACTCAAATGCATTTTCAATATATGTATATGCATAGTATTTCCATATGTTCATCAATCTAACTAATGTGTTTAACACTTTTTTAGTAGAATATGCACCTTACATATCAAAATAGTGCATCGTCATATGCTTTGTAATGCATAGTTCAGTATCTCTTCTCAAAATGTTAAAGTTGTTGAACTAATATTTATATTCGTACTCATTTAACTTTTAATTGCATCTAAAACTTATATGATCACACACCATTTGAAGAGTCATAAACCTACAATAAAAATACTTCGAAACTTCATTATCATAATAGTTTCGCGTGTCCTAATATAACAATTGCTTCAGAATGAAATGTTTATTAAAAATTGACGCATCGCTTGGTCGAGCCTTCTCTTATTCTTCTTTGTGGATCCACCTTTTAGATCTTCCTTTTCTTTTGCATCTTACTCGTACATGCATCCCCATTTCTTATATCTCCAACTTTTTGTTGTTGTCCTCCGATCCAGTTGATTTAAAATGCACAATGTCAAATTTAATTTTGGATGTGTGTGCATATATCCGGTCATCCTCCTGCATTATATTCATTATAAAGATTTATTTGATTTACATGGTAGGTGCATCTTCAAATACAACATCATCCCAATATTGAATTTACATAAACAATCTCAAAAATATAAATCATGCCATAATTATAACAACATACTATCAATCTTATTTTACTCAACTATACAACACAAAACTAATACTCTGTCACTTATTCATTTAAACAGACACTTGATGTGCACTTATCAACAAACACTTCATACTACTCTATATGCACCAAATTTTATAACGAGTTGCACCACACTGTAAGTATTTTGAATATTGCTTCGATTACATAAAAACCAGATTCACATGTGCTCAAGTAATGCACCTTGACTTCACATTACCAGAAACACATTTGAATTATGTGTAATTGCATATTACATACCTGTATCTGACATTATTTTAAAATACAATCAATATGTTGTCCTAACTATTTGCAACCACTACATCTCATCAGTGCATATAAAAATGAAAGTCGTCCCTCCCAACAAGTGCATTTAAAAACTAATCAAACTGCAACATTTACTTTCTTCCACAACAACTGTTATTGCCCGCCTGAACTATTCTTCTTGGAGAGAAACTATAATCGAAACTGTTATTGAAACCTTTACTACAAAGGAACTTCGTATCTTTCCTTTTATTGATTTGCTAAATCGCTAGAATTTTAGTGGTGGGTCAGTGGATTTTTAGGTTTCCTTTCTTACTTTGGTCGCTCCGACACGCTGCTGCTTTCTTTCTCTTTTGCGGAACTATTTGGCAGTTTTCTCCACTTCCTACTTCATTTGTTAGAATAGTTACTATATTGAATTCATTACTAAATTCACTTAAGAAGTGCAACATGCACATTAATTGAAATGAATCAATACATGCACTAAATGGGACATTCAAATGCACCTTCACATTAGTGTAAATGCATTTCCAAAACTGGAATTCATCGCTAAATACACAAATTGCACTTAATATCACATTCAAATTCACTATCACTTTACTGTAAATACATTTACTAAAAAAGGAACTATTTTGGCGGTTTTCTCTACTTCCTACTTCATTTGTTAGAATAGTTACTATACTGAATTCATTACTAATTTCACTTAAGAAGTGCAATATGCACATTAAATGGAATTCATCACTACATGCACTAAATGGAAAATTTAAATGCACCTTCACATTAATGTAAATGCATTTTCCAAAACAGAAATTCATCACTAAACACACAAATTGCAGTTAATATCACATTCAAATTCATTATCACTTTACTGTAAATGCATTTACCAAAAACGACAATTCATCAATAAGTGCCCTCAATATCTCCATCACCACAAATGAACAGTCATATGCATAGTAACTCCATCACAAAAAAAAATCAACATTCATATGAACAAATCTTAATTACATACACCACGCCTTATATTCAACTGCACCCTACCTTTCTTAGTCTGCATTTTAACTCCCATACACAAAATCATCACTGACAATTTGATTGCACCTTTACCTGAACTATTTCGCACATTAATTCCATTACAAAAAACCCACACTCAACTGCACAAATATGAAAATAGGAATACCAATCACGAACACAAAACCCCAAATTCATAACCAAAATGCACACTTCATTCAAGTGGAACTCCATATTAGCAAAGAAATTAAACATTACAAAATTCAATTATCAAAATACTTCACTCAATGTGACATCCAGCCAAAGTGCATCCACACAACCCTCTTACTGCATATAAAATAAGAAATCATCCATGCAAACAAATCAATCTAAACAAAAAAACATACCTTCTTTGCACGCCAGAGTAATTTTCGAAATGCGTGTTCTTGGACTGAAGCCATTTGTGCCAATGGAAATTCAACTGTCGATCTTCATAGAAACGCCGTCCTTCATTGACAGACAAGCTTTTGCCGCTCTCAGGTAAAGCTTCGATCTTCTTCAACTTTGGTTTATTTGGTGCATTAACTATATGGAGAACCTCTGCTTGTTTCCTTTTTCTGATTTGCTATTCATTGGCGATTCGGATAGTAGTGGGGATTAGCGCAATTTTGGGTGATTTCCTTCCTTTTTCATATCCTGGCGCTTCCCATTTAAAAATTCTTAAATTACTTATTTATCCTTACTTACTAAGCGTGTGTTTTTTTTCCATTGCCCTCCTACGCAGCCCACAGCATGTTACGGTGTGTAACATGTTTTCAATGCTTGATTTACCTAAATCGGACGGATATGATTTATTTGCATTTTGTATGGGAAACATTGTATGTGATCTCCTCCCTATATATATATATATATATATATATATATATATTGCTATTCTCGGGTATTTTATAAATTCATTTATAACAAAAATTTGTTTAACCTTTTATGAACAACATATTGCATGTGTATAGGCCTAAAGGTTATGATTCATTATAATTTCTTAATACATCTTATCTAGCAGTGAGAACATTTACTCTATAGTATCTCTCTTCATATGTATGTGTTGCAAGGATTATGAATGCAAATATAAAACTAAGTAAAGATTGTTGAGTTAAAAATTATCTAGGAAAAAGTACTAATCATGTCATTTTAATAAACAACAAAAATGGTAATAATAACATTTAGGAGACATGAAAATTATGTATGTATGTTGGTTATATAATATGTTTATTTTGTAAAATACTATTAGCAATTACCCTATTAAGATTTTCCACAATGAAAGTTAGTTATACAACAACTATCCTTCTAATATCTTAATGTTTTTGAGCACTTTTGAGAATATGTTTTTATGAAATTGTTATTTATTATTGTGCATTTGATATCATATTCAATTAAATTAATTATACAATATTGTTTCATTACCAACTTTAGAATTGAGTTTAGTAACAATTGGATTATTTTAATTTATTAATAGATGGACATGATAGAATTAAATGAGTGCAATAATTTCTATATTGTTTTGTAGATGGTTATTGATAATTATTACGAAGTACTAATTATTAGTATTGTCTTTTGTACAATCTTTGTAGCCGGATTCGCCAAGATTGAATATAATATAGTACTTGACATCTTTATATTATTAAATCAGAATATTTAATTATTTAGCCGATCCATTATCTTTCAATGGAAGCATGACTTTTATGTCACAAGTCTGCCTCGTGAAATGTTAATTAAGATATTAGACCTGATAACTACAACATCTTTAATTGACTTCGTCTCTTCTTCTGAAACACATGGTTTTCGTGTGGCAAGTCAGCTCGTGAAATGGTGAGATACTAGATGTGTTAATTGTACATATCCGGTCAACCTGTTATCCTTGCGTGAAGCGCATAACTTTTATAGCGTGCTCCTGTCACGAGAAATGTGAAATACTTTACTTGCCAACCATACGTGTACCACATCTTTTCTGGTATACTATCTTTCCATGTAAGGAGTACGTTTTAGACTAATTTATGCTTGCTTAAAAAATGTAGTAATATGAAATAAATCATAAAAAGCATGTGAAGATATAAAAAGAAATATTTGTTTATTCATTCATGTTGATCAATTACATCCGGAAACACGTATATATAATATGTGAACCCTTCGTAAGAGAGCAGTCCTCCAGGGAAGAGAATTCCAGATGCTCTATGAAATCTCCCTAGTATCACACAGGTACCAAATAAATATACCAAAAAAATAGAAACTACCAAATGTAATATGTCTAGAATTTTCTAACTAGTATAAATGTATAATCGTACCCCCCCTCAAGTTAATTGGAGCATGCAGATTGAAAATGCTCAACTTGTGAAGTAAAGATTGAAATTGAATCTTCCCAAGAGTTTTGGTAAATATATCTGTCAGCTGAGAAGTTGTGGGAACATAATTAAGATGAATAAGCCCTTCTTGAACAACATTGCACACGAAATGACAGTCAAATCTATGTGTTTTGTGCCTTCGTGAAAGATTGGATTTCTGGCGCTATGAAAAACAACTTGACTATCACAATAAAGGGGTATGGAATGAGGATGATAAATACTCAATCTAAGAAATAGTGCCTTTAGCAATTTGAGTTCACAAGTGACGAAGCCATGGACCTGTAT